GGAAGGATTTCCTCTTTCTTTTTATTTTCCTTCCATTTTACCTTCAGTTCTCTCCTTACGGCCTGTGCGGATTGAAATAATACGTATTACATGTGTCATTGTTAAGTTGCATTATTCAATAATTACAGATAAAGAAGCAAACGGTTTGGTAAACTCCATGAATGGAGTATAAGCAATATAGTCTAATACTTCGAACCCAGCTTGAAAAATTAACCAAAAAAAGCAAAGATCAAAAACACACGCAAAAAAGTAAAAACAAAGACAACAACATTTCAAACGTAGATTATCAATGAAAGTTATCTCGCCTTCACAAGCTTTTCCAAATTAAGGTTCTCCCTTCCAGCTGCCTCTTTAACGAGGACCATGACTTCACTGGTGTAATCTTGTGGAACGTCTTTCGGTCTTTTCGCAGATAGGACATCGGGAAGCTTAGGAATAGAAAGAGATATACTTAATCTCATGACAGCAAAAGTATACCACTCAGTTTCACAGTTGTCGGTTTGAATTTCAACTGAACTGTGTGTACAATTGGGCATCTATAATTTTTTTTTCAATTACTTTCTAAATTTCTGAAGACCTTCCTTCGAATTATCGGCCTGGTCATCTTAACAAACTCCATGCCACGGGCGTCTTCCGCGCCTTTTTTATTTTGAAATAAATAACAACAACACAAACAAAAAAACAAACAAAAACCAAAGCAACGAAGCCAAAACAAAAGTAAACGTATTCGCACGCCCTTTCATTACTGTTGTAATGAAACTGATAATTATGGATTGTAAAAGTACGTATAAAATATTTATCTTCCTTTCATAGAAAACAACTCAAATAAGGAAGAGCTAGTTAAAATGATAAATAAACATTACAGCACTAAAGATCACAAACCTTATATTTACCATCCCCTAGACCAACACAAGGTGCATCAGTAACTAAAGTGTCCAAAAGCGATGAGTAGTAGGATAAAAAGCCAATTCTTGCCTCCTCTGCACATTCGTAAGATAACTGAAGGAAAGAAACTTATACATGAATTGTATGGAGACAGAGGAAGAGATCTCATAGATCTGGAAAATTTCAGTTTGTAGGCGCGTTATAAAAGTGCGGATGTATTGCATATAAATCAAAAAATAATAGAGACCAATAATATATGAATAAATAAGAATAATAAATAAGAAATGGTAAAAATATAAAGGAATAAATGAAAAAAATATCTGTTTGACTGTTCATCCCTAAGACCCTCACTATAATGTACACAATATTACTATTCGTACGTTGACCCGCGCACAAGATAACAGGTAACGAATTTATCTTCACGGGCTATGCGCAATATAAATTTTCTGCCATGGCATCTGATCCCGCACGGTATGAATAAAATAAATTATATTTCAACTCCACGACATTTTACAGAACAAACAAATCACCTCAAATATATAACATGCAAGCCTGTACGCCTTTAATTGATCTTCTTCGGACAGCTGTTGAGATCGGCTTTTCTTTATTTTTTTTTCAATCAAATCCACTGCGTCAACGCGTCTTCCATCCCTAAAGTCGTTCCTGTATTCTGCCTCAAGCTCAGACTGCCTGTTTGAGCTCAACGTGTTTTCAGTTCTTCTTTGGTCCATGTTGACTTTTTTCTCTGCCACAGTAGCAAGCCTTATTGAAAATAAGAGTTGCCGGTTAAATTGAGTCAATCGATTGTCGTATCTTCGATTATATATCAGCTAGAAGGAGTATCTGTATCAAACATAGCAAGAGGGAGACAAATCACAAATATAATGCGATGTGCAACAGAAGAAGTAGGGAGAGAGTACGAAGTAGCATTTTGGTATTAAGGTAATGGCGGCATTCAATCAGTTTCTTTCAAGAAAAGCTACTCTAGGAATGATATTCAAGGAAACCCACTAACAAAGAGACAAGGACATGTTCACTCCCTGATTAGAAATAAATTGTCCTTTAATTCAATTTGAACTAGCTTTCGTTTTAGTGGATAATTGTGCTTGTTTGGGGAATGTCCAGGAAGATATTCATGAACAGGTAGAAACAAGTTTGGTTTAAGGGTGTGGGTAAGGATTAAAGCAGGTGTTACTCTCCACAATTGTGTTACCTTTGTCTCAGTCTTTGAACTTCCGCTGATAATTCCCTATTTTCATTACTATGACTTTGATGGAGGCTATCGATAATGAAGAGAAGTCAAAATCATTCGTAAATGATAATCTACCTCATTTAGGTGTTGCTTAATATGCTAACAGCTTTCAAGAATTTCCGTCAGTGTCGACCATTAATTATATTCAGTTTGTCACGCCTGAGGAACAGAAGAGTCCTGTCAATGCGAGCGTGACGGAAAGATTATAACCATTCCTCCTTTCCTAACCGGTAAATGATCACAACAGTTAAGAACTACCAGAATACTTTATACCTGTGACGGATTAATTGATTAATTTATGTATTTATTCATTTATTTCCTTGCGGAGTAGGCATTAGACAGGGCAGATATTTCTGTGACGATAATAACGACTGTAACATTTCATTGTGCATACACAAATGCGTCTACATTGTGAGCAATGAGATCATTACATAAGCAAACAATTTCAGCCGGTTTTATTTAAAGAATTTTATAATATCTTGCAATCTACATGGCCTCAAATGAACAGAACTTCTCAAATTGTTTACCTTTGCAGTTGTTGCCTGAGATCTTTATTTTCATGCTCTAACCTCTCGAGTCGCAAAGGGAGTTGTCGTGATGCTTCAATTAGTTTTTCTGTGGACCATTCCTCATCATTTGAAGGTGATGCCGATGGATGCGTTTTGGATTCATATCCACTTGGTTGAACGGAGTTAGGTAACGCTTTTCTACGCTTAAAGGTCGTCATTACTGAATCAAGTAGCAATCGCCCCAACGTGTATCGACTGTATCTCCCGGATGTCTGTTTTCTTAGAAAGAAGCCGGAAGTGGCTAATTTATTTTAACAAAACTAAAATATTTCATGCGCCAGTGAGGGATAAGTTCACTTCGCTAAGTTAAGTCTCCGTCTTGCGCAACCAACGCGTAGATACGGTAGTTAAAAACGGATCTGGAATTGAATCTTTTTTAAAATCGATTTGTTACATTAACACTCCGTAATGTAGCTTTACTTTGGCGTGAATATGCACAATCGGGGGCAAGGAAAAACACGCAGACAAACACACGCAGACCGCTATTTTCTGCCTCAATCTTAGTTTTTGTATCATCAAAAAGACATGAAATATCCGCAATTTTAGACCTATTCGGCGAGTAGGTCTAAAATTGTCGATAAGAATTGATGTTTCTTTTCACGAAGCCCTTGTAGGGTCACGCAATTCCAGTGCGAAAGTGCCTTACTAAAGCTTGAATAGTAGTAAAATGCAAATGATCGAATTCTGATCAAGTCTACAAAGTCAAAGAGAATCAACTCTGTCAGAATATTATCGTGACTTGTTAAAAAAGGAACCCTTTTTGAGTGAGTAACAGTATACTTGGTGTATAACTTCCAATTTTTATTCTTGG